GGAAGTTGATGGTGGTTGTATCCGTGTGCAGTCTCGGGTCTGATTTGGGCTCCCTGGAACCAGGGAGCCAAATGCGCTGCGTGTGCGCGGTCCACAGCGCGCAGAAAAACTGGTACCTGGCGAAGCGTCTCGTCGCTACGCTCCAAGTCCACCGTGCCCAGCCAGACCTTATACATGGGTCCCCCATGTGAGTCGGTCAACAGGTTGAGCGTGTCGCGCTCCGTCGAGCCTGTCGGGCGCGGGTAGGTGGGTCTATGTCCAGGGACCTGTGGGGTACTCAGTGGAGGGCGCTCGGTCCGCACGTCACCCCTGTCACGTGCGCTTTCTTCGTCCTCAGATATCCTGGCAGCGCTGGTGCTGCGGTCGGGATTCGCCGAGCCATCACCGGCGGCAGCCGGTTCACGATCGGAGGTGGGTTCAGAGTTGTCTGTCGATGGGCTCCGCCGAGGCGCCTTGCCGCTTGGGCCATTGTCGTCGACCTCCGTGGCCGAGTCCGAGCAGGATACAGGAGGGGGGGGGCTCACCTTCTCCGTAGTCGGGTGACTCCACCTTCTCCGTAGGGGGGATCACGTCCTCCCCGCTCTCATCCTTGACCGCGTGGCCGGGCGGGTCTGGGAGGCCATGACGGGAGTCGTTGTCTCTCGTACCCAGGGTCTTGTCCGTGTCGGCCGCCGTAGGGGTGTCAGGCCTGTCCTCACTCATGGTCTGCACGACTGGCGGAGGTGACTCGGCCAGGGAAGTGATGGACGTGGAGGCGAGGGCATCGGCACTGAGGCTGAATAGGAAGCTCGTCAGCGTGCCAATTTCGTGTCTGATGGGACTAAGGCCGCTTGCCGGGGCCAGGGTCGTGGCGTGCCTCACCCAGGCCTCCCTATGCTTCTCGCCGTTGGTGAGGTGGGCGACGACCCGCGCCGCGGCCACACGCTTGCCCTCCCAGCGCTGGTTGGGCGGGACGCAGTCCCCAGGAATGCATTGGCCGTACACCCGTCCGGAGAAACTCAGTCAGACGTCCGTCCGGCCATGAGTTTTCATCGCAACTGTGCTCTGGGATGCTGCTGTCGCGGTTTGTGAAGCAGAACTGTCTCCAGGTGAAATCCAGCCCAGGGTAAATCACGGAGGTAGGTCACGAGCTGTCGCTGTGCGGACAGTCCTCCACTGCCTGGTCCGTTCCTGGGGTCGTTTGGGCTCAGCGTGAGGTTGTTGACGTCCCTGTTGTCCAGGAGCGGGCCCTGCGGTACTCGCAGATCTGGCAGGAGCTCCATGAGTTGTGCTAGGGACCTGGGAGCCCGTTCAGCTGCGGCGGCCGCACCACTCGCGGCGGTGGACCCAGGGAGGTTGCTCGCTCCGGTCTTGGTGAAGCGATCCTGGGCCTTGGCGTCCGCACCTAGCCATGGGAGAGAGTCCCATATGTCCACTGATACCTCAGCTCCAATCTGGCTACTGAGCGTAGGAAGGACAAGGCCTCGGCTGGGCATAGCGCTCTAAAACCCCGATCCAGGATGTGGTCCAGGGTAGCAGGGCCGATGTTCCATACAGGGACCAGGCAGCGCCGACAGCACCAGGTGGCGTTCCACTTGCGCTCCCACCAGGCTATGGCTCGTTTGTCGATGGGAGGCAGCCCGGCCTGCTCAGACACCCCTATCCCTTCCGCTGGCTTCCATATGAAGCAGCCCAGGGGCGGGGCTCCTGCTTTCCAGACGAGGAGGGGGGCCCCCGGGGGACATGTGTCGCACCGAACAGAGTATCTCTGGCTCTGAGTAGCTTTGAGGCCGAACCGCTCGTCTCGGATCCGTAAGATGGGAATGGTGGTGTTGGCGCGCTCAGGGATCTTCATGCCCATCGGCGTCATGATGAGGTCCGCTAGCGTTCTGGTGTCCGCCTGGGGGCTGCATCCGTAGCCGAGTGGGAGGTGGCCCAGGGAGGGGGGAGCATCCGCCTTGTCGTTGCTAGAGGAGCCCGGCCTGTGCTGCTCGTGCTCTTTGACCTTGTCGGCAAGTGTCGCCCCTGTCGGAGCTGGGATGCCCTGGTCCTCCAGGTGCCGTATCCAGCAGGTCTCGCAGTGCCATCCCATGTTTGCGCCGTTGAGGTAGGCCTGCGGCCTATTCTGAGCGACCATCTGGCGTGTGTCGTCGGAGATCCATGTGCCATCGGTGGAGCGTAGCTGGTCCCTCCCGCACCTGTCACACCTGAACCTGCCGTTCTTCTGCTCGGGAGCGAGCCTTTCATCAGGAATGTAAGGGGGGTCCTGCTTGGTGCCAGGGGCGGGGGTGGCCGGCAAAGGGGCGCTGAGGTCAGTATTGGATAAGGCGAATCCGCCGCCAATGTATGCAAGCCCCGCACGTCTATCGTCGGCACCCAGGGAAGCGTCGGTTCCCGCCAGGGCGAAGTGTAGCGCGCACACCGAGCAGCGGTGTGTACCCAGGGAAGTCAGAGTAGCGGCCGGGACGATCCTTTCGAGGACGAGCATCGGTGCTTTCAGCTGGAAATCCTGCCTGTCCAACTCATTCCAGGTCTGCGGGCAGCCGGCCGCTCGTGCATCCGGGTGGTGGTGCGCCACCGCCACGAGCTTGGAGATGTGGGGCAAGATTGCCTCGATGCGGCCATGGAGGTCGGCTAGGTCGTCCAACGTGAGGCTCCAGGTTCGTGCGAAGTCGTGTCGGAAGCCTTGATGGGCCTCTTGCCAGGGGACACAGAACCCCAGGATGGCTTCGATTACGTCCCCGGTTTGCTCTGCGTGAGAGAACGGCCACAGGCAGACGCGCGGCTCTCGAAGCATGAGCATCATGACGACCAAGAGCGACCGGGCTTTGCAAGGTTCCATGGGGAGGCCGTCGGTGTCTATGATTCCCTTACCGGGTCCCGTCCTGCTTGGAGCCGTCGGACGCGCCACGGAGGATGTCCTGCAGCCCTGCCATTTCAGGGTGCTTCCTGTGCCTGCAGCAGTCCTTAGTAGAAGTGCTCCAAGCCTTGGGAACATGCCGGAAGAGCCCCTTGGGGGTACACTGGCGCCGCCCCCAGAGTGTTACCCGCCTTCCTTTGACGTGAGGCAACGGTGGAAGGGAGTCGTCGTGGATAGCGTGGTTCGCGTCACGCCAGGGGGTGCCCAGGCCGAGTGTCCACACCATTGCGGCCCAGAGCATGTTGCAGACTAGGTTGGTGGCGTCTAGTCCCAGGGACATGTCGAACAGGAAACCCAAGTGCGACCACGCCTTGCGGTCGAGTTTGCCTGGTTGTCGCGGTGTGTCGGCCAGTGAAAACTCGTGCGGGTGCAGTCCAGACATCAGGTAGATGAGGACATGGAAAGCAGGCGTCGAAAGAATATCGTTGAGGCCGCCCGAGATGAGTTTCCCAAGGGCGTCCCAGTCGAAATGCTCGTCCAGGGGGGTGTTGTAGCGCTCGGCGAAACCGATAGCCTGGGCGTCACGTGCTTTCTTTCTAGCCGCATCCAGCTCATTTTGTCCACTCTCCCCCTTTGCGTCGCAGCTCCAGGCAATAGGTGAAGGTACCCAGGAGGCGAGATCGCGCAGTGGGTCGAAGCTCTCGTCTATGACCAGGGAACTCCTGTGGCCCGCGGGAGCATCGCCACGAAAGCGGACCCAGAGGCGGGTCAGGCGTCCGTATTCGGAGAGCACGCGCAGCTGGGACCAGGTGGCGTTGGCGAACATGCGCCCGTCTCCCAAGATCAGGATGTTCCTCTTGGCCCTGGCGATCGCCACATTAAGACGTTTGGCGTCGTCGACAAAGCCCCAGTTGTGGTTCCCGTTGCTCCTAGTCGTTAGTACGATAACGATGTCAGCCTCCCCCCCCTGACTGGAGTCAATGGTGGTGAGCTTGAGCGCCCCACTCCTCATGTGCTCGCCCGCGACCTGCCGGAGTCCAGGGAAAGAGGTGCCGATGGCTGTTTGGGCAAGGATTCCTTCCAGGACGTCGGCCGGACCTTTGGAGGCCTGGACATTGGCACCAACACCAGCACAGGGGTTTGCCTCCACAGGGAGATGATGATCTTAGATTTCGGTGTTGGTGGCAATATTTCGGTCACCTTGGAAGCCAGAATATCACCACCATCACCGAGATCGGGATCGTCTTCCCTCGGTGGAGGCACACCGCCGGTCTTGGTGCTGGTGTCAACCTCTAGGACTGCGACGACCTTTGATGCTTGCCTTCTCGCCCTGTCGCCTTCCGTGGGCCCCGGAAGCCACGAGCTGGCTCCGAGATGGCCCACGAGGGCCCCAATGAGGGCGGCCGCGCAGCCCCGGGCCTGGGCGGTCGCACTACGTCTGGGGTGCTCTGCGTCGGCGCCGTCCCCCCTCAGGGCCGCCCACCATGAAGGGGCCCTGGGACACACAAATAAATACGCACAGATAAAAGGATTCCCCACATCTTCTCATACTTTCTGGCTTTTCGTCTTCCCCCCCACTTCCCATGTTTTCCCATATTTTCCTAGGGATCGACGATCAATTGTGTCTGTGTGTTTTTTCTCCTCCTGACACTACTCCGACGTGCTCAATGGAGCGGCGCTCGCTGGGAGTGAAACGCTTCGCGGTCGGTCCTGTCTTATCTTGCCTCCCTGTCCTCACCAGCGCGTGGGCGGTGGTCTCGGCCGTCTCCAGCATCGACGTCGCTCAGCGCCGCAGTTGGGCCGCCTTCGACTGGGACACGAGCTCCCGCCTTGCTTGATAAAGACGCTGCCTCCCTGTCCTCTCTCCCCAGACATCCGGCCGCCCCGATTTGGGCCGGGGGCGTCTGGACCAGTTCCCGGTGGTTCGTCCCGAGTCGTTGCTTGATGGTCCCGAGGCCCAGCGAGGGCCCCTGGAGGAGGAGGAGGAGGAGGAGGAGGAGGAGGAGGACATTGGCCCAAAAGCCTGCCGCTCCAAGTCTTGGTGGCGCGTCGGATCTCGGGGCCCTCTCCCCTCCCTCCCTCCGCATCCGCCTCCCCTCGCCCTCGCCTGGCGAAGCCCCGCCCCCGCCTCCGCTCCTGCGCCGCGCCCCCCCCCCGCAGCCTTGGCGATGTCCTGGGCGTTCTTGGCCGCGGCCCTGCTGCACTCGCCGACCACGCCGAGCGAGTCCGCGAGCTTCTTGTCCACCGCCTCCGCCTGGCGCGCGGGGACGACGCGGCCCCCGACGTCTACGGGAGGCGCCGGAGCACCCGGCACGGCTCCTCCGCCCCCTTTTCCTTGCAGACACCTTCGCTCTCATCCTCCCACCTCCCTCCTTCTCCTGCTGCTGCTGCTGCTCCTCCTCCTCCTCCTCCTCCTCCTCCTCCTCCTCCTCCTCCTTCTGCACCTCCTTGCAGGCGGGGGCGGGGGCTTGCTCCAGCTCCCTTCGTTGGCTTATCGCAGCCCGACGAAGGAGCTGTCCGATCCAATCCAACCCCTCCTCATCCCTCTCCCTTTCCCTCTCCCTCTCCCTTCCCCTCTCCCTCCCTCCCTCCTCCCCTCTTCTTCCTCCTCCTCGTCCTCCACCCCTTTCCATTGCAGATAACTCCTCCCCGTCGCACCCCCGCACGTGTTGGACAGGCGGGCTGGGCGTTCCGCCCTGAGATCCCTTGCCACGCACGGCTGAGGCTTTAAATTTGCCACACGCTCGCCTCCTCCTCCTCCTCCTCTTCTTCTTCTTCTTCCTCCTCCTCCTCCTCCTCCTCCTCCTCCTCCTCCTCCTCCTCCTCCTCCTCCTCCTCAGGTCGTTTTCAAAATCCGGCTCTCGCCGAGACACACCACGGGCCATTCGTCTTCAAACTCCACAGCGGCCTCAGGGGTGGAGAGCGCGTGGTGTTCGGACTGTGGCCCTCGCCCCGGCGCCGCGCAGAGTCGTCGCACAAGCTTGCAGCAGCTCCGCGGTTGGAGGGCGGCTCCTCGTCTTGACCGTGGCTATCGCCGTGACGCCGCGCACACTCGTCTTGAAGGTCTGCACCGGCACCAAGAATGGAGGGCGGTTCCTTTTCTCCTTTTCAAGCTGTGGCTCTCTCCTACCGCTGCGCAGATTCGTCTTCAAAGTGCGCGATGGTTTCAAGACTTTGTATGGCCGAAGTCCCAGATATTGTTGTTCTGGCACGGGTCTGGATTGCCTGAACCTAACATTCACACTCATTCGCGGTGTGGGAACGGCGTTCTGGCACGATGTTGGATTGTCAGGCAACAGTCACGTTGATCCGCGGCGCTGAAGCCCCAATACCAATGTTTGGCACGATTGAGGACTCTCAGAAGGTTGCCTTCTAGTGGGCCACTTTCCGCGATGAGAGTAAATCTATTTAAGGGACCTATGACGAGGGAACTTGGAAGGAGGGTGTCTTGCAACATCGTTGATGCGTCTTGGGTTTACACTGGTCCTCCTCCTCCTCCGCCTCCTCCTCCTGCTCCTCCTTGCTCATCCCTGCTCCTCGCTAATCCGCTTCATCCTTCTCCCACTCCCTGTTCTTCCCTCCTGGCTCCTCCTCTTCTTCCTCATCATCCTCATCCTGTCGTGCGCTTCGTGGAGTGGCGCACCCCCCGAGGACAACCAAGGTCCCCTCCCAGAACGCCCTCGAACGATCCACCCAACCCCAAGAAGTCCCCCCTGCTATAAGATGTCATATGTCCCCCCTTTATCACCCCCCTCCTCATCCACCTCCACTCCCATCTGCTGCTAATCCTCCTCTCCTCCTCCTCCTCCTCCTCCTCCTCCTCCTCCTCCTCCTCCTCTTCCTCACCCTCCTCCTCCTCCTCCTCCTCCTCCTCCTCCTCCTCCTCCTCCTCTCTCCTTCTGCAAGTGCCAGGTGCCCGACAGCAGCGCTCCGTGAGCGAGGCAGGCGGTGGCACGAGCCTGGTGCGCGCCTCGCCGTCGAGAGGCGACACGCGGGGGATGAGGATCGCCCGACGGGCGCAGGCGAGGTCGAGAGGAGAAATGATAGCTCAGCTCGGCGGGCTCCGCAGCGCAACGCAGCCCCAACCCCAGGCGTCGTGGTGCATACAGTCGGCCTTGGTTGGGAGGGCACGCGAGAGGACACGAGACCCTTCCGAAGGCCACGTCGCCATAGGAGTGTGAGAATGCACGTGTCGCGAGGCACAGGACACAAGGGGGTACCCTTGAGCTGGCAGGGCCGACCTACTAATCAGGGCCGACTGCACTACAAAGCCCAGGCAGCCAGGTGATCCGCCACCGTGCCGCTGGGCAAGGAGTGGGTGCGTCCTCGGGTCCTTTGCCCAATCCCCTTGCCTAGGCCGAGGCCGAGGCCGAGGACGAGGACGTGGACGAGAAGGAAGAGGAAGATGAGGAGGAGGAGGAGGAGGAGGACGATGACGAGGATGAGGACGAGGAGGAGGACCAGGACCAGGACCAGGATGAGGACGAGGAGGAGGAACGACCTCAGCCCTCACCCCTGAGAAATCTTCAAAGGGCCTGGAGCCCAAATTCTCAGTTCTCCTGCGGCGTGCCGCGTGCCCCCTGGGGTTCCCAGCATCTTCTCGCATGACTTTTCGGGTCCGAGGAGGCCTCAGGACGGGCCAAGAAGGCCCCGCGAGGCCCCCAAGACGGTCCAAGAGGGACCCCAGTCGCCGAAAGATCGTTCCAAGACGCCGACGATGGCGTCAAGATGGCCCACGAGGCCTCCAAAAAGCCCCAAGAGGCCTCTAAGAGGGCTCCCAAGAGTGCCCTAAGAGGCGCAAGTCATTGATCTTCCTTTGGTTTTGACAGATTTGGGCGTTCTTGCCTTTTCGGCTTTCCCACGCCCCAAGGCGGCCCAAGAGGCCCCCAAGACCACCCCTCCAAGAGGGCCCCAAGACGGCCTGAAAGCGCCCCAAGACGGCCCAGGAGGCGCCGAACACGGCCCGAGAGGGTCCCCTACGGCCCCAAAAGGGGGCCAAGAGAGGGAACACGGACCGAACATCCGAGCCGTCCGCCCCAAGAGGCCCCCAGGACCCCCGAGGCGCTCAAGAGGCCCCCCCAAGAGGCCCCCAAAAGGGCCCCCCAGAGGCCCAAAAGAGGCCCCAAGGGGGCCTCCAGGAGGCCTCAAGACTGCCTCCGAGAGGCCCCCGAGAGGCCTCCCGCGAGATCCCAACGAACATCCAGCAGGCCTCACACCCACAGCCCGGGCACAAGTGGCGGGATGCGCCAGAGACCATGACATAAAAACAGGGGCGCCGCGCGCGGACAGCAGGAGGCCGGAGCAGGCGGAGGGAACAGGCTGCAGGGAGGAAAAAGATGCATACCCCTTGCGAAATGCTTAAGAAATCATGGGTTAAGAAATTCATAGTCTCAGAACTTGAATAAAAGCCCAAAACTTCTATCAAAATCTTAAGGTTTACATTGAAACGGTAAGAATAATCGAGACTCTGGCCGAAAACTGGGGTTTTCTTAAGCATCGCCTGGAGTGTACCCGAGAGCAGCACGTGGAGGAACACTAAATTGAGCAGGGGCCGAACGTCCCAGCAGTCCGAAAGCTGCCACGAAGTGGTCTCGGAACCAGAACATGTTCGAACCACAGAAACACGGTTCTTAGAACATGGACCCGATGTGTTAAAACAAGACGGTCTCAGCCAGAAATGTCCGAATCATATTTCGTGCACGCCACACAGCAACACCCTTTGGTGGGCCCATAGGCAAGTCAGGACGCCTCGCCACTGCTTGAGGCAAGCGACAGCTCAGCTCAGCGGGCGGGTTGGGCGGGATTACAGCAGCGCTGCCCCGCCTCGGTAGCAGTCTGCCTCTGAGGCCCCACATCGGCTACACGCAAGAGCGACCCTGGGCAGGAGCAACTGAAGGGGAACTGTGACACACAAATAAATACACACAAATAAAAATATCCCCCATATTTTCCCATATTTTCTGGGTTTCTGTCTTCCCCCCCACTTCCCATATTTTCCCATATTTTCTGGGGAATCGCCGATGAATTGTGTCTGTGTGTTTTTTTCCCTCCTGAGTAACCTTTGGTGCGGGGCTAAGGGAGGGAGGGCCTTTTGGGGACACCGCCGGGCGCACAAGCTGCTGCTGTCGCGTCGCATTCAGCGATCAGGGGGCCCCATTGGGCCCGCACCAACGGTCACCCTGGCGAAAGGTCATTATTGAGCAGGGACCGACCGTCCCGGCATTCCTACCGTCCTACCACGACATGTTCTTAGGACCCACAAAATGTTCTAAGAACGGAAACAGTTTTCTTAGAACATCAACCCAGACCCGAAGTGTTCAAACAAAATCAGACTCCGCCAGAAATGTTCTGAGAACATGTCGTGGAAACCACGGAAGGCTCTTAGAACATTGTTTGGTAGGACAATAGGCGAGCCAGGACGCTTCGCCACTGCTTGACACTCTTACGCCTGGTCGACCACAGGCCGCCGCGCTCGCTGCAGCGCTGCGCACTACACGCCCGCGCTGAGCCCAGGTCGCGGCTCCCGCGGCACCAAGCGCGCTGCCCAGTCCCCGGCCGCACCCCGTCACTGCGCCGGCCTCGTGGCCCCCAGACCGCCGCCGCCGTCGTCGTCGGCGTCCGCGTCGGCGTCGGCGTCGTCGTCGTCGTCGTCGTCGGCGTCGTCGTCGTCGTCGTCGTCGTCGGCGTCGTCGTCGTCGGCGTCGGCGTCGTCGTCGTCGGCGTCGGCGTCGGCGTCGGCGCCGGCGGCGTGCTCGCCGTGACGGCGCCTGCGTGGACGCCGCCCCGCCGCCCGCACGAGGGAGCAGGTCCCTGCGTGGGGGGGGGCAAGCGTTCGCCGGGTCTGCCCCCCCCCTCCACGCAGGGAGAGGCGCCGAGCGGCAGGCGGAGCCCAGGCCCGGAGATGGACGCGCGCGCGGGGGCGCGCGCGCGCGGGAAGCGCGCGGCGGCGCACCGTCGCGGGTTTCGAAGGGTGCCCCCTCCTCCTCCTCCTCCTCCTCCTCCTCCTCCTCCTCCTCCTCCTCCTCCTCCTCCTCCTCCTCCTCCTCCTCCTCCTCTTGTTAAGTGTAACCTTATCAGAATCAAGAACTTGATTGACGATATCAGCCTACACGTGATAGGAGGGCCCACCCAAGTGGCAGATCAGGCGACTACTGGTTTAACGATGCTGCTAAGAGGCATGGAGGACCGCAGGCTCCCCATTTCGTGGGACAAGTGTGGCATGCTGTGCAGTGATGAGGAAGTTTTCCGCAAAGT